TTTGTTATATATATATATATATATATATATATTGTTATCAATCACTATATACTTGGTCAAGACTTTCTTTAAGATTAATCCGTTCAATTTAGATGGTATTTTTTATATGAAGTTTGCAGTGGGGTTAAGAGAAAAGACGGCTAGATACTTTTGACAGGATATTTTGTTTAGAGACCTTTAAAATTACATTTTCATAGACAAGGTAGTTAATTGCTGTCGTTTACACCATGCTGTTTAAACAATTTTTTGTTGGAAAAGTACTCTTCAACTATAATTTGAACAATTTTTATTTTAGTAAGGAATTATAGCCTCTGTCATTATTCCATCATCCGTATCAAAGTAGTTTACCCGTGGTGACCAAGGTTGTAGGCTGCACTGATGACAGTAGCGTAGACTTATGGGTAGTTTGTTGGGTTGATTTTTGTGTGGTGACAATGGTAGTTGGCAAAGTTGTCCTTTTGGTGGTTTGTGCAGTAGTTCGTTTCGTCGAGATTTGTGTCGTTGGGACTTCTGTTGTTTGAGGAGTTGTCTTCTCCGTTGTAGGCCGTGTGGTTTTCTCTACGATTTTGCATATATATATATATATATATATATTGTTATCAATCACTATATACTTGTTTAAGACTTTCTTTAAGATTAATTCGCTCAATTTAAATGGCATTTTTTATATAAAGTTTGCAGTGGGGTTAAGAGAAAAGACGGCTAGATTCTCTTGACAGGATATTTTGTTTAGAGCCCTTTAAAATTACATTTTCATAGACAAGGTAGTTAATTGCTGTCGTTTACACCATGCTGTTTAAACAATATTTTGTTGGAAAAGTACTTTTCAACTATAATTTGAACCATTTTTATTTTAGTAAGGAATTATAGCCTCTGTCATTATTCCATCATCCGTATCAAAGTAGTTTACCCGTGGTGACCAAGGTTGTAGGCTGCACTGATGACAGTAGCGTAGATTTATGGGTAGTTTGTTGGGTTGATTTTTGAGTAGTGACAATGGTAGTTGGCAAAGTTGTCTTTTCGGTGGTTTGTGCAGTTGTTGACAGAGTTGTCTTCTCCGTAGTAGGCCGTGTGGTTTTCTCTGCGATTTTATACATATTGTTATCAATCACTATATACTTGGTTAAGACTTGCTTTAAGATTAATTCATTCAATTTAGATAGTACTTTTTTCAATAAGGTTTGCAGTGGGGGTAAGAGAAACGACGACTGGATACTTTTGACAGGATACTTTGTTTAGAAATCTTTACAATGGCATTTTCATAGACAATGTAGTTAACTCGGTCGTTTACACCATGCTGTTTAAACTATTTGTTTCGTTAGAAACGAAATCTTCAATGGTGATAATTTGAACCATTTTTATGTTAGTAAGGAATTATAGCCTCTGTCATTATTCTATCATCCGTATCAAAGTAGTTTACCCGTGGTGATCAAGGTTGTAGGCTGTACTGATGACAGTAGCGTAGATTTATGGGTAGTTTGTTGGGTTGATTTTTGTGTGGTGACAATGGTAGTTGGTAAAGTTGTCCTTTTAGTGGTTTGTGCAGTAGTTCGTTCTGTCGTTATTTGTGTCGTTGGGACTTCTGTTGTTTGAGGAGTTGTCTTCTCCGTTGTAGGCCGTGTGGTTTTCTCTGCGATTTTATACATATTGTTATCAATGACTATATACTTGGTTAAGACTTGCTTTAAGATTACTTCGTTCAATTTAGATGGTACTTTTTCAATAAAGTTTGCAGTGGGGTTAAGAGAAACGACGACTCGATACTCTTGACAGGATATTTTGTTTAGAGACCTTTAAAAATGCATTTTTTGTAAACAATGTATTTAATTGCTGTCGTTTAAACCATGCTGTTTAAACTATTCGTTTTGTTGGAAAAAATCTTCAATTGTGATAATTTGAACCATTTTTATGTTACTAAGGAATTAGCCTCTGTCATTATGCTATCATCCGTATCGAAGTACTTTACCCGTGGTAACTAAGGTTGTAGGCTGCACTGATGACAGGAGCGTAGATTTATGGGTAGTTTGTTGTGTTGATTTTTTTGTAGTGACAATTGTTGTTGGTAAAGTTGTCTTTTCGGTGGTTTGTGCAGTAGTTCGTTTCGTCGAGGTTTGTGTCGTTGGGGCCACTGTTGTTGACAGAGTTGTCTTCTGTGTTGTAGGTCGTGTGGTTTTATCTAAGATTATGTATGATTATCAATAACTGGATACCTTTAAAGGGGCATTTTGTTTAAATATGAGGTAGTTAGTTGCTGTCGTTTACACCATGCTGTTTCAAGTATTAGTATAAGTTAATTGAGAAGAAGTTTGCTACAGTGGTCAGTTTGAATCAATTGTTTAAGTATGAGGTAGTTAGTTGCTGTCGTTTACACTATGTTGGTACAAGTATTAGATAACTTTAGAAGAAATCTGAATCACTGGTTAGTTTGAATCAAATGTCTCTATGTTTAAGAGCAATACATCCCACTATTCCGTTGTATCAAAGTAGTTTACCTGTGGTGACCAATGTTGTAGGCTGTACTGTCGATAGGAGCGTGGATTTATGGGTAGTTTGTTGTGTTGATTTTTGTGTGGTGACAATGGTAGTTGGTAAAGTTGTCTTTTCTGTGGTTTGTGCGGTAGTTCGTTTCGTCGAGATTTGTGTCGTTGGGACTACTGTTGTTTGCTTTGTTGTCTTCTCTGTTGTTATTCCTGTGGTTTTATCTGAGATTTTATATTTCGTTATCAATGACTTAATCCTTATCTTTTATCTGAGATTGTGTATAATTATCAATAACTGGATATCTTTAAAAGGGAATTTTGTTAAAAGATGAGGTAGTTAGTTTCTGTCCTTTACACCCTGTTGTTTAAGGTATAAGTTAATTTGAATCAAATGTTTAAAGATGAGGTAGTTAGTTGCTGTCGCTTACACCATGTTGTTTCAAGTATTAGTTAACTTGATAAGGTGTTTGCAACCGTAGTCAGTTTGAATTAAATGTTTAAATATGAGGTAGTTAGTTGTTGTCGTTTACATCATGTTGTTGCAAGTATTAGATGACTTGAGAAGAAATCTGCATTGGTGGTTAGTCTGAATCAAATGTTTCTTTGTCATAGAGGAACCCATCACGTTATTATGTTGTCGGTATCAAAGTAGTTTACCTGTAGTGACCAAGGTTGTAGGCTGTACTGTTGATAGGAGCGTGGATTTATGGGTAGTTTGCTGTGTTGATTTTTGTGTGGTGACAATAGTAGTTGGTAAAGTTGTCTTTTCTGTGGTTTGTGCGGTAGTTCGTTTCGTAGAGATTTGTGTCGTTGGGACTACTGTTGTTTGCTTTGTTGTCTTCTCTGTTGTTATTCCTGTGGTTTTATCTGAGATTTTTATATTTCGTTATCAATGATTTAATCCTTATCATTTATCTGAGATTATGTATAATTATCCATAACTGGGTACCTTGAAAAGGGCATTTTGTTTAAAGATGAGGGAGTTTCTGTCCTTTATACCCTGCTGTTTAAGGTATTAGGTAATTTGAATCAAATGTTTAAATATGAGGTAGTTAGTTGCTGTCGTTTGCACCATGTTGTTTCAAGTTAACTTGAGAAGAAGTCCACAACACTGGTTAGTTTGAATCAAATGTTTGAAGAAGATGAGGTAGTTAGTTGTCGTTTACACCATGTTGTTTTACGTATTAGTTAACTCGAGAACTTGAGAAGAAATCTGCAACAGTTTTTAGTTTGAATCAAGTATTTGCATGTTAAAGAGTAATCAATTTCGTTATTCTGTTGTCGGTATCAAAGTAGTTTACCTGTGGTGACCAAGGTTGTAGGCTGTACTGATGACAGTAGCGTAGACTTATGGGTAGTTTGTTGGGTTGATTTTTGTGTGGTGACAATAGTAGTTGGTAAAGTTGTCTTTTCTGTGGTTTGTGCAGTAGATCGTTCCGTCGAGATTTGTGTTGTTGGGACTACTGTTGTTTGCTTTGTTGTCTTCTCTGTTGTTATTCCTGTGGTTTTATCTGAGATTTTATATTTCGTTATCAATGACTTAATCCTTATCTTTTTTTTATATCTGAGATTGTGTATAATTATCAATAACTGGATATCTTTAAAAGGGAATTTTGTTAAAAGATGAGGTAGTTAGTTTTTGTCCTTTACACCCTTTTGTTTAAGGTATTAGTTAATTTGAATCAAATGTTTAAATATGAGGTAGTTAGTTGCTGTCGTTTACACCATGTTGTTTCAAGTATTAGTTAACTTGAGAAGGTGTTTGCAACCGTGGTCAGTTTGAATTAAATGTTTAAATATGAGGTAGTTAGTTGTTGTCGTTCACACCATGTTGTTGCAAGTATTAGATGACTTGAGAAGAAATCTGCATTAATGTTTAAGAGTAATCCATCCCACTATTCCGTTGTATCAAAGTAGTTTACCTGTGGTGACCAAGGTTGTAGGCTGTACTGTTGTTAGTAGCGTAGATTTATGGGTAGTTTGTTGTGTTGTACTATTGTGTGGTGCAATGGTAGTTGGTAAAGTTGTCTTTTCGGTGGTTTGTGCAGTAGTTCGTTTCGTCGAGATTTGTGTCGTTGGGACTACTGTTGTTTGCTTTGTTGTCTTCTCTGTTGTTATTCCTGTGGTTTTATCTGAGATTTTTATATTTCGTTATCAATGATTTAATCCTTATCATTTATCTGAGATTATGTATAATTATCCATAACTGGGTACCTTGAAAAGGGCATTTTGTTTAAAGATGAGGTAGTAAGTTCCTGTCCTTTACACCCTGCTGTTTAAGGTATTAGGTAATTTGAATCAAATGTTTAAATATGAGGTAGTTAGTTGCTGTCGTTTGCACCATGTTGTTTCAAGTTAACTTGAGAAGAAGTCCACAACACTGGTTAGTTTGAATCAAATGTTTGAAGAAGATGAGGTAGTTAGTTGTCGTTTACACCATGTTGTATTAAGTATTAGTTAACTTGAGAAGAAATCTGCAACAGTTTTTAGTTTGAATCAAATATTTGCATGTTAAAGAGTAATCAATTTCGTTATTTTGTTGTCGGTATCAAAGTAGTTTACCTGTGGTGACCAAGGTTGTAGGCTGAACTGATGACAGTAGCGTAGACTTATGGGTAGTTTGTTGGGTTGATTTTTGCGTGGTGACAATGGTAGTTGGTAAAGTTGTCTTTTCGGTGGTTTGTGCGGTAGTTCGTTTCGTCGAGATTTGTGTCGTTGGGACTACTGTTGTTTGCTTTGTTGTCTTCTCTGTTGTTAGCCCTGTGGTTTTATATCAGATTTTATATTTTGGTATCAATGGTTTAATCCTTATCTTTTATCTGAGATTATGTATAATTATTAATAACGGGATACCTTTAAAGGGGAATTTTGTTTAAAGATGAGGTAGTTAGTTTCTGTCCTTTACATCCTGTTATTTAAGGTATTAGTTGATTTTAGAAAACATCTGCAACAGTGGTTAGCTTAAATCAAATGTTTCTAAGTTAAAGAGGAACACATCCCGTTATTCTGTTGTATCAAAGACGTTTACCCGTAGTGACTAATGTCGTCGGCTGTACTGTTGTAGGTAGCGTAGATTTATTGGTAGTTTGTTGTGTTGATTTTTGAGTCGTCTTTGCAGTAGTCCTTTCCGTCGTGATTCGTGTCGTCGGTTTTTCCGTTGTTGTCAGAGTTGTCCTCTGTGTTGTAGGTCTTGTCGTTTTGTCTGAGATTGTATATGGTTATCAAAGACTAAATACCTTTAAAAGAGTATTTTGCTTAAAGATAAGGCATTTAGTTGCTGTCGTTTACACCATGTTGTTTCAAGTATTAGTTAAGTTGAGAAATTAAGAAGAAATCTGCAACAGTTTTTAGTTTGAATCAAATATTTGCATGTTAAAGAGGAATCAATTTGGTTATTCTGTTGTCGGTATCAAAGTAGTTTACCTGTGGTGACCAATGTTGTAGGCTGTACTGATGACAGTAGCGTAGACTTATGGGTAGTTTGTTGGGTTGATTTTTGTGTGGTGACAATGGTAGTTGGTAAAGTTGTCTTTTCGGTGGTTTGTGCAGTAGTTCGTTCCGTAGAGATTTGTGTCGTTGGGACTACTGTTGTTTGCTTTGT